AAAGAGACAGAGCCACAAAGAAAACTCTGATTTCTCAGTTCCCTCTGTGTTCCTTTCCTTTTAAGATGCCTGGTACATAGGTAGGAAGATAGGAGAATGACCATGAAAGTGTAAGAATTGTTCCCTGAGAGATTATTATCTGCCATTGCCATGCGCCCTACCATCCCATCAGCATTGCCTGGCCCATAACATTTTCTGCTCCTTGGACTCCGGTTTACCTTAACAGATAATCAAAGTCAACATGGTTTTGTAATATTCTAGCCCTTGACACCAGTTCAGAATCACCTGATTCATTTGGGGACCAGAAAGGAAACAGATGATGTCTTCAGAGTCCTGCTCTGGGATGGCACTGTGTACTACATATATACACAAAATCTCAATGTGAGTCTAATATCATCTTACTATTTTCATTTCATTTTGAAAAATATTCTGTATGAAATGCATTCTATTTCACTTGTCCTAAGGCAAAATTTCTAAATTAGGATTAGAATGAAAAAAATTAGTTGTATTCAAAATTGATTTTAGGCTGTAGTTCCAATCTTTTACCCTAAACTGCAATATTAAATAAAGTGGAAATATTTAATTTTCATCAATTTACACCTCTCTGATAAGTGAAAATGAATACAGTTAGGGGAATAGCAAAAAGCAGAAGCAAATGACCCAGGAATAATGAGAAAGTGATTTTCTTGAGAAAAATCATGGCTTTAAAATTCTGGTAGCTTGCAAAAATGATCTGTCATTAAGGACTCTGCTTTGACTTGAATAAGTAAGCACTTTTAGACTATACATGCCATGAAGTTAGGGATAGATCTGTTTTTTGCTTAAAAGGTCTAGCATCTTGAGTGATTCCAGAAACATGTGTGTGCTAATCTGGGCAAGCTAATTATTGAATTAATGATAGACCATATGATGAAATGAATGTGAACAAATTCATAGTGTGCGTAAGTATCTATTGATAAAAGCGCTGAAATAGGAACAATTAAAAACAAGTGCTGTTGCTAAATGGTAGATTTTTGTTGCTTTGGGTTTTTGAAATAGACATGGCAATTATTGCAAAACCCATAGAGAAACTAACTCTGGTGCAGTCAATGGGAAACGGCTCAGATGATCATGATAAATGCTAACCAGAATAGGCAACATCAATAAGTGAAAGAGGCAGGAGTCAGCATGTTGGAAAGCTGTCACCAAAGGTCAAGTATGCTCTAGTATAGTTAACTAGGGAACTAGCCAGGTGGCTCTGCATCATCATGTCCTTTTCAAGTTGAAAGACACCAGGTGTGCTGATTTCTCAAGCATTCCAAAGTGGCCAGGCATGGTGGCTCATGCCTGTAATCTCAGCACTTTGGAAGGCTGAGGCGGATGGATCACCTAAGGTCAGGAGTTCCAGACCAGTGTGGCCAATATGGTGAAACCACATCTCTGCTACACACACACACACACACACACACACACACACACACACTAGCCAGGTGTGGTGCCAGACGCCTGTAATTCCAGCTACTTGGGAGGCTGAGGCAGGAGAACCACTTAAACCTGGGAGGCGGAGTTTGCAGTGAGCTGAGATCATGCCACAGCACTCCAGCCTGAGCAATAAAAGTGAAACTCTGTCTCAAAACAAACAAACAAACAACTCCCCAGAAAACCACTCCAAAGCAAGCAGTGGGATCATGAACATATTCCAAGGATCATGTGAATTCATCAATTCCTTTTTTTGTAGTTTTACAATAGATAGTAAAACAGAAACAACATAATAATTGCAAAGATGGCAATAGCAAGTTTCCCTCTAGCTATGACTGTAACATAAGCATTTAAACATAAATAAAACATTGTGACCATTCTCTAATGTCCACATTGGCTTATTAGACATTTTGGATTATAGATGCTCTGTTATCTGAAATTTCATATCAGGAGGGAAACTTTCTAGTGTCAATTATTATATTCAAGGAATAGCCCTTATTCCTCAACCATCCAGGTTGCTGGCTAAATAAAATCTTTCTGAGGTCATTATTCTGGAAATAATAAAACATTGTGTTAATTTTCACTGGGATCATAAATCGGTACTCAGTTTTTGGGAAAACATTGGTACCACAGCTGAGAAAGATTGCAAACAGTTGCAAAAAGATAGTTTCATTGTGTTTTATAGATTATAGAATAAATTGACCCACTCCAGGATATAGTAAGATCATATGCTCATTGGAGTTCGTTGGGGTGTTTATACATGAGCACGCATACTACACATTCACATACACAGAGATAGTGAAGTCGGAGCGAAGCAATATTTCTCAGTTAAACACTTATGGCTGTGTAAACATGTGCAGAATCATGAAATGGAAACATCCCAATAACAGCTCGTGCCAGAGTTGGTAAAAGAGAAAATAAATCAATCTGAGTAGTCCTATCTTTCTCTGAGATTACATGAACATTGGTGGAGGTACTAAGATTTTCAAAAAAAGGATCAAGGGGAACGAAATGTGGGACTGTGTTAAAGAAACTTCTCTTCCTGGGTCCGTGAGGGGCGTGGTTTCAAGTATGGGAATTTCCTGGCTCCCTGCCTCAGGCGACTAGCCTCTTTGAGCACTTCCTCCACCCCGGCCAGGTAAATTTCTTTATCTATCTTCCAGCTGGGTTGGGCTTTTGTCCCCTAAATTCCCACCACAGCTCATGGAGGAGGGGGCTCTGTGATTCAGGGTTGTAAAACAAATAGCCAATCCGGTATCAGAGTCAAAGATCAATCAATCCTGAGGAAGTCTGGATGAGAACATGAATGGAGAGGGAATAACTCAAGGGTTAAAACTTCAGTTGCTCTTACCTGAACAGATTCCCTCTCTGGGTTCTCCTCCCATGACAGCGTGGGATCTGCCTTCTCTCTCTCTCTCTGTCTAATAAATCGCTCTTCCACAAAACTCTCTGGGTCCACGATTTTTATTACAACGGTTAAACTCACCGTGCCTCTGGGGCCCCTGTCCCCATTCTTCAGAGCTAGAAAGGCCAAGAGCCTCCGAGCCAGGCCTAGCAGTTAGGATTCCTGGTTTTCACCCAGGCAGCCCGGGCTTGGGCTCGACTCCTGGTGTGGGAACCAGGCAATCCGACTGAAGTTTTACTCCTCTGGTAACAGAGAGTCAAGCATGAATGTTGGGAGATCTATACATGTAATCATTTACTCTTGAACTATCAGATGTTGCACCTTTAGAGGTTGCCTTATATACACAGAGCCAGGTGTTAGCTGGGATTTTTGGTTTTTTGAGATTTAAGTAAAAGTGCTTTAACTTCAAATCACATGTCTCTGTGTTGTATTGGACCGAGCGTAGAAAGTTAGCACCAAGACAAAAGTATGCCAGATTGCAGGGTCATTTATTATGCCGGCGACCACAGAGGACTCACGTCTCTCCAACCTGTGGTGTC